ACATGTAAGTACACACGAGGACACCGCGGATGCAGCTGGCGATGTTTCACTCCTCGTTAGGTGCTTAGTTTTGTGATTAATCCCCTCGCACCATCAATGCTGGGTGTAATCAGCCATTACTAATAATAGTCTAACCTGGCAAATGTGAGACTTCCGAAATGTGTGCTTCTGAAACCAAAGGTGGGTCAAACCGTTACGGTTGTAATGATATCATTTGTACCTCACTTTCGTTATCGTTGTTCAGAACGTCTCTTTGTATCTCCCGTTTGCTTAGCAACCTGACATACTTTGTTTGTCAGATGATCTTTACCAAAGCTTGCTCGTCATTATGGCCGTGTAGTTTGAGAAAGTTATTTGTCTGTGTGTGTGTGTGTGTGCATGTGTGTTTGTGGGTGCGCATGCGCTCGTTTATGTGCACGCGTGTATGCGGTGATATGGTCATGTGACGATGACCGCCTCCAGGACCCTCTGCCTCAGGTTCCTCTCTCGGGCATGGTCAACAGTATCAATGGCAAGGTGCGGCTGACCTTCAAGCTTGAGCAGGACGAGCTTTGGATTGGAACAAAAGGTAACGCATGTCTGGCTTAGCTAGTCAGCTGGGGTTGTCAGGTCGTGTTGCTGGGTCGAGTCCGTAATCAACGGCCTGGGATTTCTTCAAGATGAGTTTGGACGCTCCTTGCAGCTTCATTTTTTCCAATTATGTTGTGAGCTGGATAGAAAGCAATGCCATTGCAGGTGTGGCTGTTAGCCCACAATACAATGGGCTGGATTTTCTTATCAAGCAAAACACATGAACGGGCGGTGGATATTACTGACGGCACCCCTGCCGACGCCGTCTGCTCAGAGCTTCAACACTGTCACCCCTGTCATTTTAGCGCCAGATGTTACTAAAGTAATGTCTTTTGCATAGCTACGGGAATAACCTGCAACTAGACTTGGGAGGGCATTGCAGAGTAGTTGCATGCAAAGTTCAAAGTTGTACGGTTACCTTTGACTTGTGCTCCTGGAGAGCTCAGGGCCTACTGTGTACACATTCACATTGTAGTATTGTTTGCACCGGAGGATGTACCCAGTGTGCTGACAGTGCTCAACACCATGGCGGAGGCAGAGCGTGATATAGAACAGAACAGCAAGGACAATCAAGGCTTCTTTGCTGCTACTTCAAATTTCATGCTCTCGCAATCATCAGGCAGCCTGATGATTGGGAGAGTATTAAACTTGAAGTAGCAGCAAACAAGTCTTGATTGTCCTTGTTGTTGTTCTGTAGTATGATTCGTATTCAACTGGTGTGCAATGCCCTCCCAAGTCTAGTTGCACGTCAACGTTATTTGGCATAATTATCATCTATTGATCCGTTGATCGGGATGACCCAGAGGATTGGACAAAGAGTTCATAAAGGCCGATTCACAATACAACTTCTTGCGACGCGACATGCGACTTGCGACACATGCGACGAGCTGCGACACATGCGACGAGCTGCGACAGCGACACACGGTTCACAATATTCTTCATGTTTGCGACATCCTCATGCACAAGTAGTACTATGCACGTGCACTGCACGTGCACCCAGGGTCGAAACTGTACTCCATTGGTGTATGTCGCGTGTCGCAAAAGTTGAACTTTCTTCAACTTCTGCGACAGGTGCCTTGCGACAGGTGCCTTGCAACAGCTTGCTACAGCTCACGACAGCTCGCGACAGGCAGTTTCTTGTCGCAGCTGTCGCAAATTGCGTGTTGCGTCGCAGAAAGTTGTATTGTGAATCGCCCTTAACCCCCAAGAGTGAGCAGCTCTCTCGGGCGCAGTGTGCTGTCCTGACAGAATTTCAAGTTGACGTCATTTCTACGATGCAATGCTCCTCACGCGAGTGATTTACGACGTTGTTTGTACTGATTGTGTCGACGCATCACACGTGCAAAGTCTCCATTATAAGCACAGGTCGGAGGGCTGTTGAGATTACAAACGCCGTCTCCAACATAGTCACAGTGATAATACTGGAATGCAGCTGTGCGCATGCGCTTACCTTGAAATGACGTATGCGGGCGGACGCGTTCGCGTACGTACTCAAACTCGTACTCCAGAGCTAAAAGAAACAAAGTGCTCCACGGCCACGTGCGGGACTGTACTTGCAGTCACTCTTCTTTGATCTTTTCCTGTTCTCTAATCATGAAATCTGAGTTAAATTCCAATTTGAGTGTGTTACCGGCATGCACCTTTCTTGACTTTTTCATGGTTGAAAAAATATAAACACGGTCTCCAGTATTATCACGGTCTCCTCTATAAACACGGGTGCGAGGTGGGTTGAAAAAATATAAGTACCGTGTTTATAAGGGAGATAATACGGTATGGAAACCTCGCCGTGGTTCGGGATGAAGTTTCATACGGATGTTTTCATGCCGCGCTTCACACGGGCTGGCTCCGCATGAAAGCTGAGCGGACAGAGTACATTATGGCGCAAACGAAACGTTCGTGTCAAACGTCCGTGTCAAACTTCACTGCAGTTGACACTGAGTTTGGTACGTAGTTCTGTGTAGCAGAACCTCCCTATTCATCATCATCATCATCATCATCTGCGTTGCCGAAAAAAATAATAATAGTAAAATTTTAAAAATCATAATAATAAACGGCATTATGCAGCTGTGTAAGCAGTAGATGCACAGTGTGACTGCCAGTTGGCATCTCTGTCAGATGCCAACTGGCAATTCTCATGCAGAGAAATACCAGTAGCAAGTACTAAAACCAGACTTATGTGCTGACAGTGTATCTTAAAAATCAGGCTTCGATTTATAGCAGACGCTACAGTTTGTCATACCAACACCGCCCGTAAATGTTTGCCGGTATGCCGTAGTGTCAACGTGCCCTTTTGTCTGTGATATTGCTAGAGACGGACATGAGAGAGAGAGAGAGCCGTTCATCTTCTCATGCCAGCTAGTTCCTGTGTGTGTGTGTGTGTGTGTATGCGTGTGTGTGTGTGTATGTCTGTATGCGTGTGTGTGTGTGTGTATGTGTGTATGCGTGTGTGCGTGTGTGTGTGTGTGTACGTACTTGTATGCGTGTGTGTGTGTGTGTGCGTGTGTGTGTGTCCATGTCCATTCGCTGTGCTGTGCTGTGTGGATGTGTTGCAGTTCGCACAGACAAGATTCCAATGTCGCAGATTCAGAACATCGTCTCGGAACCGATCACCGGACATTCAGACTATCATGTCATGGTAAGGCGGTAATGAATCCCTGATTTGTGGGTTTTTTTTCATTTCACACACACACACACACACACACACACACACACACACACCGCACACATACACACACACACACACCACACACCACACACGCACACATACACACACACACACACACACACACACACACACACACACACACAAAACACACACACACACACACACACACACCTGCCTAATGCTTGGCCACGCCGCCCCTGAGACAGGGGAGAGTAGAAGAGAGAGCTCGAGAGAAGTCCGCACTGCCACCAGGAAGCCGCTCCGCCACGACGTCGTCCACGATTGCGTACTGTATTGACAGCTACCCTAACGGGTCACGCCGCCCTCCACCCAAGCATGGGTATGGTGAGGGACAATGGCAACAAAAACAGCAAGCAGAGAGAGATAGCAGGAGAAAGACAGCGATAGTAGTACATCTGGTGTGCGACGTATAGAAAAGAGAGATGACAAGAGATACGCACAAAAAGGAAACAATAATTATTTGAACCTGCATTATTGCAGTTCCGAAACAATCAACCAGGTGATGAAGTGTGGGCACCCGAAGTCCCACCCGGACTCCACTGGAAGAACATCCCACGCAGGGATATCAGCGATGGGGCCAAGCGTTGAAAACAGCCATGAGGACACATCGTCTGGAAGTCCACCGCACTCGAACTGAAATTGCAGGATCAAACAATTTCCCACGCGTTGTCAGGCAGCGTAACCCTTCTCCCTGCATCACCATCCATCTCCAGCAACCGTCTCCACTCACAGCTCATGCCTCTGTCACCACTGTACTCCGAGCCTAGACGATCCAGCTCCAAAACGACAACATCGATTCTTCTCTCATCAAATTCAAATCTTGAATTTTGAATATTGTCTTGGCGAGCGAAAGCCGTCTCTATCGGGCCAGAGGCGTTCAGCAGAGAGCGAACATTCCAGGAAGCCAGCTGAAGACTCTCTCCCTCCCTCTCCACTCTTCTATGGACAGATTTCTTGTCAGTACCCACTCGCGGGCTCGTCACACCGCGACGAGTGGCAACTCTTGTCAGACGACAAGTGGCAGTATCAATCTCTGCCCCGGACATGACGCCTGAGTTTCCAAGAGTTGTTCTGACACTCTAGCCAACTGGGGTGGCCAAAGGCCACCACGTGGCGCTTTCAAGAGCCAGCAAACTTCAGAAAATTGAAGAGCGAAAAAACTCCAAACCGCCCCCCACGAACTCATGGGACAACACACACACGCACACACGCACACACACACACACACACACACACACACACACACACACACACACACACACACCAGGGCATAGATTAACGGCCGGACATCGGACATTTTCCGGCCATTTTCGGCCACTGACCGGACGTTTTCAATTTCTTCGGACATAGTGTCCGGTCAAAAAGGAAAAAAAAAAGCAGCGACCGTTCAACCTTTTTATGCAGAGTTGGGCTTTCTTCGGAGCTTCGTGCCAAATGCGACTTTCATATCGTACAACTAACACGTCTACACCGTAGCCTCAGGCGTAGACTTCACCAGATTTACTTGATCCGCCTGTAGCAACGCGGTTGCTACAGTCAATTCACACTTTCGACCTTTGGTGTGGACTTCGCACTTGAATCGATGGGTTGAACTGCAGTCTGCAGTGCAGTTGTTCGCTCTTGAGAGGAAGATGTCATATTTTTTCACTCTTTCACTGACCAGGAATGCAGATCCTGAGTCTTTTAGAATGTCTTGTGGAAAGCGAAAGGGAGATTCAGAGGACTTGCCGCCGGGCAAAAAGTCCGTGGTGTGAAGGCCGCTTCTTGCGGTAAGTGGATCTCGGACGATGCAGAGCTGACTACTTCCGCCTGGCTGATTTATGACCAGAAGAAGAACGATCGGCTGTTAGCAGAATGTTTGAAGTGTTCCGTGTGCATCAAGTTTGTAGACAGAGTCCGCAGTTGTAAAAACTTCAGCGTGGCTTTCATAACCGGATCCAAGAACCTGAGTACATCAGCGTTCAAGGATCATGCTGGAACGGAGATGCATAAACGAGCAATGAATCTTTTCCGCAGGCAAGAGTGTCCCGCTCGAAATGCCCTTTAATTCACTCCAATTGCGAAGGCACTGTGCAAGATGGACGATGGTGCTGCCGCTATTGCACGACGCAAATTCGAACTGACTTACCTTCTCTGCAAGGAGCATATCGCGTTCGCAAAATTCTTGACTGCAACGCTTTCTTGTACATACATTTGTCGTCAGTAAATACTTCAGTTTCTAATACAAATAAATTGGCGAATTGTACATAGTAATGTGTGAGATACGTCCACATAATGAGTCATTGTGAATACTAGTATACTTCAGCACTACTAAAAAAAAAAGAAGAAACACCCTGAAAATGTGTCGTGGAAAATGTCCGGACAGATTTTAAAACGGAAGGACATTTGTCCGAGCTAAATGAAATCCTTAAGCTATGCCCTGCACACACACACTGAGCTTGTTGCAGCCAGGTTGTACTAGTACAGTTACAATTCGACTACTTTGAAGTAGTACTATCTAGTTGCAACGTTGAGATTCAGTACTGGTACCATTGTAGTTGCAAACAAGTTACATTGTATTTCAACAATTGCAGTACATGTAGTTATTTGAATATGGCGAGCATCTTCATCTTCTTCCCGGTGCGCATGTACGCATACAATCTGTACGTGCTCCAAGCAAACTCACCTCTGTTTAAATTGACGGCGATTTATTTTGCGATTTTAGATCGATCGCGACGAAAAACCACGCCAAACGTTGACAATACTCCACGTTTTTCAGTGGAGACGTACTGGATGTCCTAATAAAACGAATGGAAAACCTCGTAATGGCTGGCGAAGAAGAAGAAAATTGTCGAACTTCTGATGCACACTGCGAATGGAGTGCAAGAGTTTCGCCGGGGAAAGTAGGCAGGTCGGATTCAGTGATGCTTTTGCTGTCGATTGACGTCACTTCCAGGTGTTCGATTTGTACGTGCAGCAGGGGACTCACTTTGGCACCACTGGCTGACGGACTATTTTGCGATCTCATAGAACCAGCGAGTTTACAATGGCGAATGTCTGCGGAGCACCGTGGTCACACATATACACTCAGTGTTGAAGTTTGATTTCACGATGGTTAATATTATTTGCGTTATGCTCTTCTCGCAAAAAATAAGGAAACATTTTAGTGGGTTTAATATAGTACCAAAGTACAGAACGTTTGGATTGCAAAAAGTGCGCAGCTTATCGCGATAGGCTGTACTGCGGAAAACGAAACGCATACTTTTTTTAAACTCGGATGTTGAGCCAAGGTAATCGTGGATAAAAAGAAAGGACGAAATGTTACGAGTTATGACTAACTGTCTACCAACGTAACCAGATCATAATATACAGTCAGCGAGTGCGACGAAAAGGCACAAAACTGACGAGTTTTTGTCACACTCGCTAACTGTGTGTGATCTGGTTACGCTGGTAGACAGTTTAGTCATAACTCGTAACATTTTGTCCTTTCATTTTTATCCATACTTTTTCATCTATTTTTTTGATTCAGCTGTGTTAGGGGCCGTCCGGGGTTACCGATTGTTTTTACAAAACGAAAAGTTTTAGTATTTTTCAGCCCCCACCCACCCACCTTTTCTGCAGGTAAAACGAATTCCAATAAAAAATTTTTAATATTGATGTCAATTTTCGACATCCAGAAGTAACTGGGCATTCTCAATCAGCATTCAATAATTATTTTCAAAACGAAACACCATCAAACCCACCCACCCACAAACGAAAACATTTCGTTTTGAAAATATTATTGGTAACCTCGGACAGCCCCTTACATTTGACTCTAAATTCAGCCAAACTTGGGGTTTCGAAATCAGCGGGACTATGTTGTCTGAAGGGAGCGTTGCATCGGGTACACTCATTGCCATTAGGGAGTTTTAGCAACTCGTGAACGATAAGGAAAACGAAACGAGTACGAGTGAGACCCATAGGCCATACGATAATATGATGCACGTCACTAATTTTCATAGTCGATATGCATGAGCACTTTTTTGCACTACAACGGTGCGCTAAAATGCATACCAACAGGACTCAGGAGTTTGGATCCTGTCCAGGACTACAGCGTGTTGTAGAGGAAATCGAAACAGTTTGGCGCAACCGTCGCCGCTGAGCTTGTCTAACCCAAGCCGAGGAAACGTCTCAAATCATGCTGCTCACCACGATAATCTGCACCACGATCAATTCTTCCAGTGCAAAGTAAAGGAAGACTATTTCGTCCTCATCCATGATCTTCTCGCCGTATGCCAGAAGATGGACACGAGCATCGAAATCATCCACCAGCAAAAGAAAGCAACAGTAAGGATTTGAACTTCAAGTTGAAGCTTCCCTCTTCTCAAATCATGCTCTTTTTGAATAAAATCTCCCGGCCGCGCGCCCTAGCGCTGCGCGCGCTGGTCAATGAAATAAATCTAAGGAAAGGACTCGTATGCCAAAACGAATCAACTGCCCTTGATTCGTGCGAAACGAACCCCGATTGCAGCACACAACGAGACTCGAACCCAGGCACCCGAGTCGACCACCGACCAGGCGGCCCTACGCATACCTATGTATGTAGGGCTCCCTGTCACCGACTCGTAGAGAAGTCTACTCGTTCACGAGTTGCTAAAACTCTCTATTGGCTATCTATTGTCTATGCCTAATGCATGTGCGGGTGTGTGTGTGTGCGCGCGTGCGTGTGTGTGTGCATGTGTGTGTGTGCGCGTGTGCATGTACGTCTGTGTGTCTATCTGTGTGTGCGTGTATCTGTCTGTCTGTGTACCTACTTCAAGTAACTATCTATAACTCTGATTGAGTATCTATAACTCTATATATTCTGGCTGGTGCACTCTGCAGGGACTCCAGCTGGGCAGCACAGAGCAGTCTCGCTACTGGGTGTATTGGGTACCCAGTCAGTTTGTCAACTCCATCCGCCGCACCGTCCTGGGTCATCTCTAACCATGGCACTCTCTCCAACAAGGACAACAGCACATCGACGATGTTGACAAAACTCTATAGCCGCCACGTGCTAACCTCTGCGGTGGCGTAGCGCTGCGTTTGGTACGATACCACCGACTCTAACAGCTAGCACTCTGCCGCTGCAGTGGCTCTAGTCATGTCTTCTTCTAGCAGTAGTTGTTCTCTCCCAGGCCGCTGCTGCTGTTCCTTGGTTTGCGTTGTAGCACTGGATGAGCGCGTTGTTTCTTTGGGCTGCCCTGTCGTGTGCCCCTGTGCGCGCGGTTTAGCGAGATGATGATGTGGATTGTAGTCATTGCAGCTTGCTGATCTCTGCCTGCTTGCGTCCCATAGTGAGCCAGTCTACTGACGGTGGTTGTTGTCACCGGGTGCCCAGCTACCTCGCCCTTGCCCTCCTGTTGCAACCGCCGGTGTGGTACCTTTGCAAAGACTGCTGTCGAGCCCGTGCTGTTTTCGTGTGCCGTGGCTGACAGTGTTTTGAGCGCTGTGTATATTTGCGTGTTTGTGTTTGTGCCTGTGTGTTTGTGTTTGTGTTGCCAACCTCACTTTAATGCTGATTAAAATTCACTGCTGATGCTATGCATGCTGCTGTTGCTGCTGCTGCTAAGTCCGTTGTACCAGTGCTGGTGTGACGGGCCACAAGCATGCTTGTTTTGTGCTGGGTTATTTTGCTGATCTTTTGCAAGTGTGGATACGCCCGGCTAACCGACCGGCTGTTTTTTTCTTCTCTTGCTGCTGCAGTAGTGTGTGTGTGTGTGTGTGTGTGTGTCTGTGTGTGTGTGTGTGTCTGTCTGTCTGTCTGTCTGTGTGTGTCTGTCTGTGTTACAAAGTGCATTGTTCATGCAAGTGTGTTGAGTATGGTGATGGGAAGGTGGTTCACCCCCATCTCCACATTGTTTAGTTGGTGACTGCTAGTACGGCTCGTGAGCTTCTTGTCATCATTCAGTTACGCGCTATTGCCGCAGCACTCCATCTCCCGGCTGTGCGTATGTGTTTGTATGTGTGTCTGTCTGTGTGTCTATGTCTGGGCCTGTGAGCCTGTGCAAGCATGCGTGCAGGAAACTCCTTTTTGCCAATAGCCGGGGCCGCTCTGGGGCTATGTTGGAGCTCGTACACAACAGGCCGTCGCCGGGATGCTCTCTTGACTAATATACTACGTGCAAATATTGCTGCACTCTGCTGCGCTGTGCCGACCGGCTGTGGTCCAATGGCAATCACACGTCTTGCGGCCTCCCCTTGCTCGTACGCTTTCTGGATACCAGCTGTCTAGAGAACCGTGCCGGGCTAGATCATCGCCTGTTCACAGAACGCTCTCGCCACCAGCTTTTGTCTCCAGTCTGTGTGTGTGTGTGTGTGTGTGTGTTCGTCGTGTTGCAGCGTGTTTTTTTTTTAAATTTTAAGATCCCCTTCCTTGTGCCGAGGCTGTTTGTGTGTGTGATTTTTTTACAATCTGATGTTCCCGGAGGCCGCCTGGCAAGGCCGTCCGTGCCCACGCTGCAATACATTCAATGTACATACCGTAGTCGTATTGTGTTCAAACCCTGATTGCAACAGCCGTTCACTGTTTCTCTTTGTGCAAGAATGGGTTGGGAAAACCGTCCAGCCGAGAGTCTTTTTATAACCTGTCCTCTCTGGTCTCCAGAGATTTGTCTGGCTACCAACAGTTACTCAGTGGAAGCTAGCACTGAGCATGGTACACTGTATTTCATGGATCTCTGGTCGACGCTCCTCTGTTTTGTGTAGCATGAAAATGTACCGTCTGTGGCTTTCTGCCGTTAGTGCACTGCCTTGAGATTGGCTGCATCAAGAGCATGAAGTAGCGAGGGCTGGACATGCATACATCATTACTTGGCATTTGTATGGGGCTGTTAAGTGATGACGTCACAGTTCCTTCGATACGCATAGCAACGATCCCACTGGGGACAAACAAAAGTAGCGTCGTCTCCATCGAACCAGTTGTCAGTGGCAACATAATTATAGGAATCGTGTACATTTCTTCGTTTCTTCTTTGCTGTTTTCAGTGAGTGTTTTGTTTTCTCTTTGTCCTTGATCTCGACGGTGTTGTCGTGCTCATTACCTTACTGAGACGTCTCTTGTGACTGAAGCCAGTGTCACGGAGGATTTTATTGGCGTGACGAGGTAGATCGCCGAGATCGAGCGTGAAAAACGCTCTGCATTAGTAGCTCCTGTAGAATGTCTTCTGGGATGGCGTATCCATGGTCAACAAAGCCAAGGTGCAAGACAGCATAAGAGGTCGTGTAAACGATGTGAACTCCAAAAGGTAAGCTCCTGAACAAGTGGAAAGATATGTGTATTTGCAAACTCTCTCTTCATCCATCGATTGCCGCTATGCATTGCATTTTGTCTTCACAGATAATCTGGACAAATAAATTATATTGTAACTGGAGAGTGCAATCGTGCTTGGGACCCATCCCAATGTCATCACATGGCTGTGGTGACTAGTCTATACCTGGGAGAGTTTTTCCTCAACTGAGATGGAGTGTAGGTGGATGGATTATGAGAAATGCGAAGATGTGGAGTAAGTTGTGTCGAAGAAATGTGTAAGGCCAAACTAAAGAAGGTGTGTGGTTCGACTAACATGGACATTTTTTTTACGGGCGGGCGGGCGGATTATTATTTTTTAAATATATTTTTTAGTACATGTAAATACACTGTACTGCCTTTAGACACCCAGTACATCGGCATTATTACGCAGTGTTATGCCATACATGTTGTATAAAGGGATCACGGGCTAATACTTTGAAACATTGTGTAGCTCTGGAACGAGAAGAGAATAACTTACTTCAAGCGGTGACTCTGACTGTCCAAATCATCAAGCAAATGAAGAACGATGCGAGTTGAAAGTAAGTTCGGGAACTACTTCGAAGTACAAATTGTACAATGTACCGGTACATGTATTGCTAGTTTGGTGTCGGCGTGCACGAATACATGGGCTTTTTCCATCGACGCTCCCTGTGCTTGCACACATGGAGCAGCAACTTACCGGTACAGGTGAAATATCGTTCCCAATACACGAGGAAAGTGCAATCTCGTCTGTCCTTCATCCCAAAACAGAAGGCCGTCCTTAATCTGGAACGAGGCGATCACTCTCAACCGGACGGTCACTTCAAAATAAGTCTCGCCAGGCTGCCGGTGGTCGTATCGAGTAGACTCTACTACCAGCACAAGGCAGCAGTCGTACCACTCACTGCACTGTACTGCACTGCAGTACAACTACAAGTCAAGTCCAAAAGGAGCCGCCTGCGTCCGCAGACTCACGCTGCACAGCACGTAGACGTGGACGTGTTCAGTCCACGTACGTCAGTCACACGACAGCCCGCCGAAAAAAAGTTACGGTCGGGCTGAAAAATGTACGGTCGGTCGGGTGAGTCGAACCACAGACCTTCTTCAGTGTGGCCTAATAAAATAAAATTTACTTTACACTCAAACATACACGGTACATGTACATGTAACATCATGATAATGATTCCATCTTCATATCTCCGCAACAGGTACGCCATACGCACCGAATACATGGTGTGTGTGCACGCGCGCGCTTGCGTGCGCGCGTACATGCACACACTCTCATGCGTGGCCGAGTTGGCCGGATGAACAGACCACGCATTTGCACGAGGTGTCCGTCATGTCATTGGAATGCTGTACTTTATGACTTTATTCCAAAATAGTATGTCTTGCCCCTGTCAAATGGAGCTTGTGTCTATGCTCAGTGGGTATCGGGCCACGACGCCACACTGCAGTCAGCGCTGGAATTAAAATAGCACTTCATGGATTATTTTAACTAATTTCCTTTGCGTTTACATGTACTTTGTTGAGCCCGTGGTTTCATTTCTGTGTTCTGTTATGATTGGCCTCTGGAAATAATCGGAGTGGATGTCATTTTTGTCATATGTGTGTGCCTTGTGCAACAGGTTCAAGGCTAGATGCACTTCACATTCGGCGTGCGATCTCGGCGTCTGGGACCTGATAACGTCTTGGTTGGATGGGTAATCAAGGATGATACTACTCGGCACACCAATGTACATGTCAATGTATTTTTTACTTTTTCAGAGCTGCACTATTTACGGACGATTGTGTCTGTTAGAGAGGAAATAAATTAATAGTATTCACAAACAAGTCCCACTTATTGTTTCTGTTCGTAAAAGGAAATTGCAATTTTTGGGTCATATTGTTCGTTCCGGCTGTTTGTCATTGACTGTTCTTCAGTGTTGTGTTGCTGGAGGCCGTGGCCGAGGCAGGCCCAGAATGTCATGGCTTGATAATATTATTTCATGGACTACACTTGACGTGCAGTCCCTGCTCGCTGCTGCACGCGATCGATTTTTATGGCGCTCACTTGTTCATACTTGCTCTGTGACGCCCCGACGGCCTTAGGGCTATGGGCTTGTGATGACGACTATTTACGTCTTGATGCTTAATTCGGTGTTAGCGTGTTTCCCCCGGATTATTTCTATCATCATGCGTGTTCTTGGGTTGAGCGAGCATATGCACGAGTGTGCAGCTATAACCCCGTGTATCTTTGGTTTCACTTTGTTCTGCAATGCATGTACCTTGTAACAGTATGTGCTTGCACTGCTTTGTGTGACCTGCATATTTCAGGACTATTCACTACACAAAACACAGAGCGACGCAACAAAAGATCATCCGGTAACCAAACTAACCTGGGTCTTGTGCATTAGACCCAGGTTGGTTTGGTTGCCGGATGATCTTTTGTTGCGTCGCTGTGTGTTTTGTGTTCATCAATTTCTGGGCTTGAGAATAGATGACTTGCACAAAGATCCGAGCCGCGAGTGAGACGGGGCAAGTGCACCCTGTGCACCCAGGCTACACTGCGGGCACCCGACACCATCTGCAGTGTACTTTTTTTGTCAGCGTGAATGAACGGTGCACGGCATGTACATGTACATGTACATGATCAGTACCGTCACTAGTGTGCACTGTCTTCAGGAGCTCATGAGTCATGCATGTGCACTTGTAGGGCTAGTGGAAGTACATGAGTGTATATTATGTGAAGAGAAGCCAGGCGTCCAAACCAACCCAAAATACTCTTGCCTTATTCTTCGGTGAAATAGTTATATAAAAATTGTCTTACCAAACAACAGTGAGCATAGCAGCAACCTCGATGCACCCAATAATATGGCATCCGGGAGCAGCAAGTGTTGCACGAGAATCCCAAGAACACGTCATGTTCCATGCTACCCGCCGCCATCAAAAGAACGAAGGATAACTGTGCTAGCCTAGTTCATATTCAATGTAACGCTAACGGTACGGGATATAGGAGCCTGTTGGGAAGGCGTGGGTGAGCTGTAAAATCGTGTACGGTTCGCACGGCACAACATACATGCAGCAGTTATTGCGACAGTTAACGTCGATGGACGAGAGTCATACAGCACAGCCCATGGGGGTTGACGTTTCTGAGCTTCCTTTCCGAAAGGAAAGTTTTATTTCTTCTCAAATAAAGCAGAATCATGCTGACTATACCAGTCTGTTATGAAGACAAGAAAGCAGTCATGGACATTGTGCCATTCTAAAGGAACGACAGGTAAAAGATAAAGCACTTCATCTGAAAACTCAAGGACTACCCATAAATACAGCAAATGATAATCCAAGCCTGATAATGTCCAACTCCGTCATGTGAGCCATTCAGTGAGTTATCATGGGAAGCGTAATGTTCGAAATGCTGAAATTTGAACAGTTGCAGTTGTGTGCGTCGCCACACAATGCCATCGCCAGTTGACATTCGAAATGTAGCCATTTTTTACGCTTGTGTCCCTGTACACGGCATGGAAGGTTGAACAGATTCAACTCTTCCATCACTTCCTGATCAGTACAGTAGTGCAGTTGCGTTCCCGTTCCTGACACTCACATCCGGCTCCGCTAACCAGCATCATGAGCACTCCAATGGTTCCCGCCACTCCTTCCGCATCGTCCCAGCGCGCGCCGTCAAAATGTGAACTACTGTAGGCAACGGAGCCAATGTATGATGAAGGTGAATGCACTGTTTGATGATGCTCCAACAAATCCTTTCACTGTTGTATTGAATTTGTAAGAAGAGTAGTGGCTCAACTGTAGTTCCTACGCAGAAGGTACCTCGCAGCGCAGTTCTGTTACGTCCACAATAATGAACACACTCAGCAGACTGTGATATGTATCAGACACACTCTGGCATTATTTGTTCCACATTCTCCCAGGAGGAGATGAAATGTAGTTCAATCATGTCTTCAGTACATGGGGTACCGTTGCCTCGTTGCAACTAAACAGGTATGCAAGTTACTTTCCCATGAGACCCAGCCAGAGCCGCATCGTCGTCATTACCAGCTATTCATGGAGAGGTATAATGTGACTTTCCACCACTCCCTGATTCAATCATAGTTTGCGAGCCTGCGCCAAACTGCTTTCTCACTAGAGCCAGGCATTGGATACATATGGCTTCAGTAAGGTTTACAATGCTATGTCTCTGGCCCAAGTCCAAGTCTAGATACAGCTGCTCAGAGTCAGGGCTGATGAAATGTTCATATCGGAACAAGCGAGACTTCGGTAAAGGTATAGTTTAGGGTCCCAAATTATTTTAGTGGGTCAGCATGCTCTACAGAGTCCCAGGCATGTACACTACACATAGGCCTTGGCCACAACTGACATCGAATTCGATGTGGATGGACAACCACTGGTGTATGCAAAATCACCTTGCGATGCGAACGAAGACGGCGCAAAGGACCATGAAAATTGCCTGAGTTTGAAGCTCGGTGATGCCGTGCGTGTCTTGAACACCTCCATGGGCAAGGGAAGGTGGTGGGTAGAAGTCAAAATATTCGTCGTTCTGCCAGGAGGCTTCCTCCGCGCCGCGCAGGTCATCCTCAGTGCCAAGGAATGATGATGGAACGTAGCCAGACTCGCCATCGACTTCTACCCACCACCATCCCTTGCCCATGGAGGTGTTCAAGACACGCACGGCATCACCGAGCTTCAAACTCAGGCGATTTTCATGGTCCTTTGCGCCGTCTTCGTTCGCATCGTAAGGTGATTTTGCATACACCAGTGGTTGTCCATCCACATCGTATTCGATGTCAGTTGTGGCCAAGGCCTATAATGTGCATGCCTGGGACTCTGTAGAGCATGCTGACCCACTAAAATAATTTGGGACCCTAAACTATACCTTTACCGAGACTTCAACAGTAGCTAGTACACATCAGGCCTGAGGACTTCGCAGCGTTTCTCCAGCACACTTGTTCTCTCCTTCAACTCAGATACTACTTGAAGTACTAGTAAAGGCCATCTGGCTCTCACACTCAGTCCTTCCACCCTTCATTTTCGTGGTTTGGGCTTCCACTCGTGACTCGGCAGGTTCCTGGCCTCTCCGCAGTCTGTCCTCAGGAGAGGGTCGCTATGGAGCTAGTGCAGCCGAATCAAAGGGAATCGAGTTCTTTCTCAGACGTCCACAAACTTTCGTTGTGCTTGACTTCACTTCCACTGCGGCAAAGTAGTCACACTTCAGGACCACGATGTGCTTGTTGCAGCCGACACCAATGATACTAAAATAATATTCCCTCATTTTTTCTGCCTCCCGGCCGGCCGGCTCGGCAAGGAACGTATGGAATGGGAGCCTCAGTTCCATCTCTCGTCTGCTAGTGCATTCAGGAGGGTAGCAGCGCTTCGGCATGACGATACAAGCCGAATCAAAACAACTCTACTCTCTAGCCAAAAAAACTAGCTCAGTGTTCGTCAGGCAAAAAGCGAAACTTCGAAAGTCACGAACTCAAAAGGTGGGGAAGTCAGAGTCAGAAGGTCCACTTGCCCCGTCTCGAACCCAGACAATCTTTGTGCAAGTCATCTATTGAGCTGGTGTGTGGTTCCCAATATGAAAACATCATGCTGGTGCTCTGTGTTTCGATTATCGACTGTCCGAGCAGTCACGATTCATTCCCAGAACGGTCAATACTGTAGTCTCTTGACGTGTTTGTCTTTTTGTGTTTTCGCCGTGGGAATTACCGGTGACGTTGAACATAGAACGGCAGTGTTGCATCACTGGACGACCCTGCCTCTGCATCTGATTTCATGTCCCCAGGATCTGGTGCAGATACTATAGTATAGTACACCTGACAGTCACTTCCTGTAAACACGCAAACAGCAAAAGAAGAGATCCCGCAAATCAGGAAAACCATTGTGGAAAATATCGAGTAGATCATACACCATTCAATAATCTGGAGTAATTACAGTGAGACAAAACACTTCAGTGCTCTCTCTCTCTCTCTCTCTCTCTCTCTCTCTCTCTCTCTCTCTCTCTCTCTCTCTCTCTCTCTCTCTCTCTCTCTCTCTCTCTCTCTCTCTCTCTCTCTCTCTCTCTCTCTCTCTCTCTCTCTCTCTCTCTCTCTCTCTCTCTCTCTCTCTCTCTCTCTCCATCCTTCCAAAATACCCTGTAACAATTCCCTAGCATTATTTTATTTTATATTCTCAGGACATCATTCTGAACATAATAACTTCTTCCATGGGTCTTCAATCACCACGGAGGGCGAGAATAATCTAAGTCATGCAGTTTACGGGAGGTGCGAGATGTCATGGATATAGAGGCCTCAGGCTGATATTATTGTGCCAACGTGAGGGCAGAGACAGAAAGAAGACACTGATTTCTTGAACAACTTACCAACATATAATCGAATCCACAGGGAGCGCTCGTACTTTGATCCATCAGGACGCGAAGAATCTTCAAAGCACTCTCAAACACACAGTTTTACAGTGGGCAGCCAATTTCACAGCCATTATGAAGGCCCTCGACGACTACAGAAGATTTGTAGAGGAAAGAACAAGGAGTAAAGAGCGAAAACAATCGCTTGAAGAAAAAGCAAAGATAAACTGCTCTCTCTCCAGTCATTAATTTTAGATGCTGTTGCCTTTGACAACTGGTTCCATCCAGAGGACGCGACTTTTGTTTGTCCCCAGTGCTCTCCGTTGCTATGCGTATCGAAGGGACCGTGACGTCACACTTAACAGCCCCATTATCTCTGATTCTCACCTCCAGCTACATGTAGTACTGAGTAGTAGTAAGTCAAACTCCATGCACCCACTTCACTATAAGACAGTATAATGTCATTGTAGATCTACACAATTAATTTTTCCATTGGGCTCATGCATCAGGCTGTCACACAGTCATGTTTGCACCAGGCCTAGGCTACTACTACTAGTACTACTAGTACTAGTAGTAGTACTAGTACAGTGCGTATCGGTTATAGTGTGGTCGTATACAAGAATATACTGCTTACAAGAATGAAC